CAAAACAGCTATTTTTACTAGATAGTTATGTCACTAGCGTACTCCACCCGAGAGACCATATTACAAGAATATGTATTTTGCTTGGCGCTGAAAGTGAAACTACCATCTCCAAAAGATAATGCTTAGTTCTTAACATCCTACCTCTAACATAAGTTCTGACGATCAGCATGTTCAACCACCTATTTAGAAAGGTTCATTTATGATGAATATCTAAGGGAAAAAGCAGAGTTGGACGGCGAGAAATTCGCTCTTGTAAGATACAATTGCTATATCGCTTCAACCAGAATTTAGATAGCTATATAAATTTTAGGCTGCAGTTGTCTTATACCTCTTATAGTGTGGGTACTACTTAAGATTTAGTAGTAACTAACTCAATATTTTACCTAGAAAAATATTGAGTAAGCCCTCGCAATTTTGATAATATATGTCTAAACCTAGGCCAGCCATTTAACAATACTATCTATTGGTGATCAAATTTTCTTTATATTATCATTCTCCTAGATTAGATGATGAAACAATGGAGTATGGCAAAATAAATAAACCTGTAATTTTATTGAATTCTTCAATTTATGAGTAGAAATTAGGAGAGATCGGGACATTATATGGAAGGTATTTTGCTCTTTTGTTTCCGATAACATTTTTATTTTAAAATTAAACTAATTGTATTATTTGAAAGCCTCATCATTAAAACTACAAATATTTGAGCTTTCTATTTTTTTTACACTATGACTATAGTTAGGGATTAAGTAAAAGTAGAGCTATTTAGTATCTACTAACAATCTGGTGTATGGTATTCCCTTCGGGGTAAAATGGCAATTATCAAAATAACCCACCAAAAGGCAAAATTATTATTTATTTATAGTGCTGTAAACATTAATACAAAAAAGAAACGCGTTACCGTTACTCGCTACATCTGAAAAATGGAACGCGTTACCGTTCCTCGTTACCATTTTACAAAAGTAACGCGCGTTACCGACTTCTCAAAAAAGTAACGGACTACTCGTTACTTAAAAAAATTAAATGTTATATATAATGCAAAAAAATATTTATTTCTTTCGGACAATATATAATAAAATAAAACTATACAAAAAGAACATATAAGATAAGATCTTTTTATAAAAAAATTTTCATAAATAATGATAATATGAATAAAATTATACAAAAATAATATATTATAAGATAACATCTTTATGTAACAATTTTTTATTTATTTTTAACAACAATTGATTTTCAAAATTTTGATCAGATAAACATGAGCGCTTAGTATTTAACACAGCTTTCGCCTTGCTAAACACATGTTCAATTGGCACAGAGGATGGGAGAGTGGTGTTATATAATTCGGGGAATTTATTAAAAATATTTAAGGAAATATCTTTATTTTCAAAAAAGCTTGAAAGATCATCTTCACAAAGATCTTCATTCATTTCCACATCAAAAATTTTTTTATCATTATCTGAAAATATTCTAGTGTGTGTGTTGAATAAAGGAATCAAGCCTGTTCTTTTTTATCAAATTGGGGCCAGGGAAGGCATATGGAAAAGTAAATCCTAATGGACCTAATATTCTTTTAAAATAAATTATAAATTAATTAATAATATCATTATATTTACTCTGAATTTTGATTGAATATAAATTTCGATTGATAATTTAACAAGGAGAATTTAGAAAAAAAAGTTGGAAGTGATTGATATGAATTAAAACTCGGCTTACAACGAGTAAAGTAACGTTTTGCGTTATCGTCACTCAAAAATAGAAACGCTTAACGTTACTCGTTACCTATAGCTGAAGGTAACGAATGGCGTTCCTTTTCATCAAAAAAAGTAACGTCGTTAGTAACGACGTTACTTTGACGTTACTTCACAGCACTATTTATTCGTTATTTCACTCTTATTATATTTCAACGACGATTGTGACATTGCAACCCCCTGTTGTAGCGTCAGCGATTAGATAGTAAGTCGGCTACAGACTCATCAGCTGTTTTCAAGATTTACATCAGCGTTTTAGATACCACTGGAATAACATAATCGGTAAACGTATTCGGTTTTGTAGATGTCACATAAAGAAGACTCGCTCATTTTGTGTAATCGTTGCCCTGAAAATCTCCTATTTCATAAATTTTCCACTTACCACTTGCCGCAAAGCAGCTGAAATCTCAGACCATGTTTATTTGATCATTCACCCCTTGCCGGAAAGCAGCTGAAACCCTCGGACCAAGTTTATTTGGCATCTTTAGACATGAAATTTCTCTTATAAATTTCATTAAATTCAAAAGATTTACTACATTTTATCCTCGAAATTATAAATAATATCTAACATAAAAGTTATTTAGCAAAATGGATGAGAAGAAATTATTTTTTGATCAATATCTTTTGAATACCGCGCTCCCAACTACTAAATGAACATATGGTAGATATAATGTATAGAAATATATGTATCTTTTGACAAAAATTCGAAACAATTAAGCCTTAAAGATGAGCGAACAAAAAATTTGGGAACAAGTTAAATGTACTTGTGCTAGAAATTATTTTCACGAAACTTAGATGATTATTTTTAGTTCGCACAAAACTTGAACGGCTAAAAAACCGCCTCCGCACCTTTCCAAAATTTAACTACACGTAACAGTCACAACATATTTGGACGAATCATATTTCTAAAAGGCGTTTTTAAATCCGCCTACCACCTGTCCGCGATTTCAGCTATTAGCAAATATCCATAATATTAATGGATATACATATAATACTACTTAAAATCGTCTTGTGCTTCATCTATGACTCTTCTATTTGTATCGAGTATTACGAATGTATCTTTCGTGTAAAATCTGATAAAAATTATACAAAACACAAATAAGCAAAAAATTTTCGATTAAGTTAGTTGTCAAAAACATGAATTAAATTTGCCTGACAACAACTAATCGTACATTTTTCTTTTTAGCCTACACCCTTTTGTATAGTGTGATTGTAACTCTACTCACAAAAGTACGATTATCAAATATCTTTAAAATGCAAATCAAATATAATATCGACTAACGAATAGTTTGTTTTAGGTATATAAGCATAGCAAATTGGACTCGACCGTAAGAGAACCGACAACTTCGTGAGATTGATAAAATATAACACGAACTTGTTTTACGCATCAGGGAAAATAAAACTTCGACGTTTTAGACATGTTTGCATAAAATTTATTTATTTTTAATCATCAGAAAACCTCACATCCAGAAAAGAATGTTCCTCAAAATTATTTAAATATTTTTTTCCCCCTTATAAAATAAACATAAAAATATTGTGCCAAAAGAAAACTTAAAATATATTACTATTTACAATTTATAAACGGTTTATTTTTTCAAGGTTTTCATTATAATGGTATGCATAATTCGTATCATAATTTTATAATGATATTCGAATATAAGATTATAAACATACATATGTAACTATAACACGGGAATATATTAAATAAACCTATAATAAATAATTTTTCTAATTTAACTTTAAAACTGAAAATATTATCCTTGGTATAAAAACGGAAAAAAATGTAATGGTGTTTTTATTTTATAAATATTTATGAGTGATATGAAGACCTTCAGTGAAGATGAGATAGAGAACTTGGCCTTTAACAAGACAGGGTCATGTTCATTTCGAAACTGCACCCTCAAGTTATGCCTATCTTAAATACGAGGTTTTTGCCTTTTTAATTATTTTATATATATAATAAATATATTTTATTCATTTATTTTATAATTTTCTTAATATTTTTTTGTGATATCGAGAGAGGAAAAGGCCAAAAATAAAAGATTATTCAAATTATAGAAATATGGAAATGGTGGTTTTTGTTTAACTAACATTCAAAATTAATATATTAATATTAAATGAGATTATTAAAAATATTCACTTTTATTTAACTTTTTTATTTGTAAAAACGGCTAACTCGATCCTGAAGATTTTGCTAATAGAAGGAACAAAGGGTCTAGACATCAATGTGCGTAATCTCGAGGCTTAGAGGCAATATTTATCTGGCTAAAATATTGAGGTTATCCGTTTTGAAGAATCAGCTCAGAGCCGTTTAACGACACTACAGTTTCAGCCTGTGCGCTAGATAATCATTCATTTTCCACTTACTACATGAATCACTAAAAGGAATCATTTAACTTTATAAGATCAAATATCTCTTCCCTTTAATAAAAAGAGTGCAAAAACATATTAACCTTAAATAGTTGGGTTCCTATCTATTATATCAGCTGTTCTCGCTACTAAATTAGTTAATTTGTATGTTTGCTAACAATAGCGCGCCAATGTGCTATTGCAATTTGAGATATTCCCTATCTCCATTTAGGTAATGTATTTTCTTTCCGTAATTTATTTTCCAACATGATTACTTATTAATTTTTTTACCATATTAATCTATTCGTTCAACATCATGGTGCCTTATTAGGGCCATACAAGCTTTCAAATATCCTTAGTATTACAGATACATTCTCTTGACTAGGCTAATTTGATCTTAATTACATTAATATTTTATTATTGCTTTCTAATATACTTTATTTACTCCTCCACATAGATTAAAATAGACCTATCTTGAAAATCTTGCTAAAATAACTCAATCAAATATTTATTAAATAATTTTTTATTTTTTTTAAAAAAAAACAAGCTTAAAATTTCCTAATTTTTTAAATAAAAAAAATTAAGTGACATAAAAAATGTCAAATGTCAAACTATCAAAATCTTTAAAAATATTAATTTATTTATTTTTAAAAATGTTATCAAAAAATTATTCAACAAAAAAAAAAAAGTAATAAAAAAAAATAGAAGAAAATTTAAAATACAAAATAAGGCATTTAATATTAGAATCGTCGAAATTGTATAAATATGTGGTAAATGACAAAAAAAAATATTTAAATTTCAAAAAATAATTAGAAAATAATTATATAATTTTAAAATTAATTTCACATCACATTTTTCCACACGGAAAATAATAAACGATAATGATGATGGGTCTAAAATGGAGATTATATTAATATTAGAATTAAAATGTAGTATATTTTTTGTTTGTTTGTCACATAATTGATAATAGTATCACAAATTTTTATAATTACTTCGTTTTAATTTGAAAGGATAAAATTTATATGTGGGTTCTAAAAACAGTAGAAATTGTAGAATTTCTTCAGGAAATTCAAAGATTTTTATCAAAGCACGAATCGATTTTTGGCATCTTGCTTCAGCAAGTAGTGACCATTTTTATTGCTATCGTTACTGCTACTAAGACTACCATTAATTATGGAGTAGTTGGTAATTGTGGATCTGTAATTAAGGCGTCCAAGACGGTTATCGTGTAACGGCTTCGGGCGTATGTGTAGGGACTCATCTCGCCGTTTGTAAACTAAATCGATTAATGTCGAAAAAGGATTATGAATATTAGTACCGAGCTCTATGGCAGTAGACTCTTTAAGGCTACATTTAGCACTGGTCCTGAATTTATTAGCTCTGGGCCAAGTTAGCAAGGTGGAGATCGAAAGTAAGCGAGACCATATATAATGAAGAGTTTGTCGCAAGGCTCTTTTTATGCTTTTGCGAGTGATTAATATGACCAGGGGATCTATCAAAGCATTTATCCGGATCAGAGAATCTAAGACGGTAGATTCTGAAGAATATAAATATTTCGAGTTTTGCGTATGACTCTCTGCTGCTTCAAGTTTGGGGTCATCATTTTTATAGTCATAAGTATCGCCGTTAATGACATCCTTGAAATAGAACTGGTAACTTTTATCGAGGTAAGTTTCGAAACAACCTCTCGCATTAACAGGCGACACGACAGAAGTGTTGAACAAATTATGACAGGATTCGTAGGAAGGGTACGAAACAGATGAATAAGAGTCAGAAAATATGGCCTTGTATAGGAAAAGAATGTTAGCAACGCAATATGGGACCGAAGTTAATATGTGGACAGATATTATAGCTAGTAATGTTTTGTAATTCGTGTTTTTAGCGTGATGTTTTTTCATCCTCAAACTTTTGTTCAATCCATGACTCCTGCGTAATGCAGATATATCGTTTATAGTGGATTCCAGCTCCATATTGGAGTAGTCTTCTTTATCCGGGGAAACGCTTACAGCTAAATTGTATCGACAGATTATTCGGTCATCCTCTCTTACAGTCACTGGTTGTAAGTTTAGATGATCTGAAGTATTGTTGGCCTTAGGACTAAGTATTGCAATCTTTTTATTATTCGAATATTTAAAATTTTTATTCGAATTAATTTCTGGCGTTGGGGATGTAGAAATGCCCGATAATTGTGTTAGATCCGAAAAGGCGTCGCTTTCTGTCTCATTGACACTTTGATTGATGGGTAAATTATCTTCATCCGTCAACAAACTCATCGAATTTCTGTGCAATAATGGCAGAAGTGACGGGGACCTATCACCTTTATTGTGCCTTTTGTTCACCTTAGTTTTTACATACAGATAATGTTTATCCAGCTGAGCTTTCCTCTTCCTGGTTTTCTCAGGGGAAATGTCCCTATTATTGTTATTACTAGCCGTCATTGAATTCTTCTTCGTTGACCTGCCATGAATATAATTATTTGGGTTCAAACTTCGGGAAAGGTGTTTCGATAATAGCTCCTCCGGTTGAAATTCCTTGTCGACATGACTTGCAATGAGAGGACTGTCACTGCCACTGAGCGGGAGAATTGCAGATTCTTCCCTCGCTGCATAATTTTTTTTGGCTAATTGGGGAGGAAAGGATATTATGATATCGACCGAATTGGGATTCTTTGCACAACCCTCTAAAGGCAATACGACTTTACTCAGACTACTACTCTTAATGGCACTATCACTACTTTGGGGCTTGAAGATGTCGAGCACTTTGAAAAGGGTTAACCGAGATCCTTTGCCATGTTGAATATTCTTTACGTGGATCGGGGTTGAAGGGTTCGTTTCGTAGACCGGGGATGGCGGGCTTATATTAAACACGTGATTATTCGTAGTCGAAAATTTGTTACCGTTCGAAGAACTACTACAAGATATCCTACTAGATATCGTGGATGAAAAGGAATTTTTAGATCGGCAAGACGAAGAAGACGAGGACGAAGAATAACGAAAACCGAAAAATTTGTTGTGACGCCTTTTTATCCGATTCTTACCTGTCTCGTTAGCGGTGGCGTCGCTTTCGATCGAGGGCGCTTTATCGTACGCGCGATTTCTTCGCGATTCCAAGCTACTGGCAAAATTTCTATCATTACCATTGCCCATCGGAATTTTAGTCATTTCATAGAACTTGCCATAAACTTGTGACTTCGATGATTTTTTAAGGATGTCTGATTTGTCTGGGTTTCGGTCATAGGAACCCATCGTTTCTTGAGAATTAGTGTCCTTGTCATTCGTATTCACGTGATTACAATCTTTGAGCACATTTTCCGTATCATTCCCCATTGATTTGAGGCCTATTGCTCCTTCCAGACTATTGTCACTATTAACATCCTTCTTTTTGTAATAAGAAGATGCCCCTTCACGTTTAAAGGAAATCTTGCCCCTCATTTTCTTCTTTCTATCCATAATATTTTCCGCCACTTCTAGCGATAATATTTGCTTGCGTCTGTCATCCAGTACCCTTATAATACCGAACCCGGTAAACGTTTTTATGAGTAACGGTCCACCGAATATGAGAGTGTAAATTACTATGTCGTAATACATTTTGCCAGTCATCACCATTCTACAATCCTGCTTTATTGTCGGTAACACATCATTATCATCGTGATATTCAATGATCCGAGTGGATTTTGCCTTCAAGAGATAGGGTATAGATAGGAGGAATGGGATCGCTAGGAATACAGTTATTATCTTCAGGGCCCGTCTTTTGCAACTGTTTCGAAAGCTAACGAATGGGTAAACTACCGCTATGTACCTATTACACGTGTTTTTATTTTTTTATGATAAAAATGTGTGAAATAATTAGAAAGTTGTAAGGGAAAAATATTATATCTATTGATTATTAGCTTATCCATAATTGAGTGGAATGCTAGTGAAATAAACCTTCTCCTTTATAGAAAAAATTAATGCACAATATTCCAATATAAGATTTTTTAACCACTTTGGTTGTAGGGGAAAACCTTGAGAATAATACTTTGGGATGTTGTCTTTTCAATCCTCTCATTGACTTTTTTAAAACTACAAAAATAGCTGTTATAGGGAATTTTAGACAATTACCTTTTATATCGAAATCTACATTAAGATCTTAAGAACGAAAATTATGTCGTGCAAGAACACGGCCTAGGATAAGCTAAAAACTAGCCATGTCATTGCTTACAATCTTAAAAACTGATATGACGAAGAATTCTGTGATAAAACCATTTACCTTTTTTAGCTGAGTTCCTCGGGGATTCTTATTGTACGCTTATTGATTTTTTTTTTCAATCGTTCATTCATAGTCCAAATCCATCAATCATTTTTACGAAATTTAAAAATAAAATTAATGGTTTTTTTTTTCAAGTTTTAATTCCTAATTTTCTTTTTTAAAAATATTTATTTCGTCTAATTTTCGCGAAAAAAATTAATTTATTTTATATACTATCAACAAAAAATTTATGTCCGTTTTTTTGAATTTTTTCTTAAAAAAATTAGGGGAAATGACAACAAACTTTAAAAAAAAATGAAATTAAATATGCAAATATCGTTTGGTTTTTTATTTTTATTTTAAAAAGAATGAATAAATAAATAAAAATGTAAATTTTTTTTTTTGAGGGGAAAGTCCTTAGAAATTCTTAAAGTTTTAATTATATTCCACAAATGACAGGATCCTTTGAGATGCTAATATTCTGAAGGCAGCTTTCGCAACATTCTAACATCGATAACCTGATCTGAAAATCCCCTTAAAAAAGGGGCTAAAATCCACAAAAACCTTTTAGGCCACGATCTATGCTCAAGCAACAACAGAAGACCTAATGGTATCAGCATGATGCCTAAGTCTTAGGGTCTTCCAATTTCTCGGGATTTCACGAGCAATTGATTTTGTCCGCAAGATTCAATAGGAATGTGTCAGCGATAAGTTCAGCCTAACTTTCGAAATATTGATAGGCCGACACCAATATTCTGAGTATTTTGGGTTATTAATTCCTAAAAATTAAGTAGTAATGAAGCCTTAACTATATAAAGCAGGCCATTACGATGGCCATACATTCTTCAAAACAGTGGGTTTCTTAGAGTAACCCATGTAAAACCCATCTCATCCTAACTTTCGCCATAAATCGTTGAAGTGATTCTAAAATTTGTGGCAAAATTGCTTCGAACTGGAACGTATTTCCGGTCAAATAAACATTTTTTTTATAATAAAAAAATGGCTTCTCAGTGAATTTAAAAAAAAAATCCCAAATTCCCTATGGATTTTCATAATTCCAACAAAACGTGTTTGTTTTAAATTTCGTTTTTTTTTCTTTTTAAAAAAAACAAAAATAAAAAATTAACTTAAAAATCATAAATAATTAAGTACACCACCATCTCTTTTTATACACACAATATTTTTATTAAGTTTTCTCTTTTAAAGGAATGTTGATTTGAAGAAGAAAAAAAAATTTTTTTTTTTTAGTGGAGATGAAATTTATTTGAAAAAATTTAAAGCTGGGTAATTTGAAATTATAAAGGTCATATTAAAAATTAATCGTAAATAATTAATGAGCCTGTCAAATCTAACAGGTCACGTGATTGTGAGAATGATGGAAAAATTGTAAATATATGAGAGCAGTTGTGATGGATAAAATCTTCTTTTTTTTTGCGATAGGAAGATGTAGAGTTTTAAAACCGGAAATTACAATCCTCTTTTTTTTCAGAATTTTAGTTTTGGCTTCAAAACTTTGATTGATGAGTATAATCTGACAGTTGCTATACAGCAAATATCACGGGCATAATTTTTTGATCAACTTAAAGATTTATACGTATATGTAGATCGATGACCTATAATAATTACCTAGAGTGACGTCCATTCATTAAAATGCATGAATACAAATCAGCTGTTCAAGAGATTTTAGTATTTCCCATATAAATGAATGAATCGTCAGTCTAGTTAGTATATTATATATTTACAATAATTTCGAGAACATTATTCAAATTTCAGAGATCTTCATAACGGTTAATTATTATCAGCAAAGAGTTTTTCGAGTGATAAGGTTTCACACATGTCAAGGTCCTTATATTTTGGGCTTGTTTCTTTCCATATCAAGTCGGATATTTATCTTCCTGGTTATTTTATTAGAAAGGGGGGTGTTATGACTTAGAATCTGATAACGGCTTCAATGGATATCAGTCCTAAACTAATGAAACAAAATTTGGCTACCAATTGGAATTGAACGTTGGTTTTCTTTTCTTCATCTTATGATGTATTTATTAATTTAAATTTACTTTATAAAAATCTCGGATCTAAGTCTGTTTTTTTTCTAAGAGACAAGATATGCTATATAAGAATTTTGAAATTTAAAAATACTTTGTGATTTCCCAACTCTGAACCTGGACCATAACGATTTACCATTACATCCATCCCCTCTTTTATCATTGTAGGAAAAAAATACTGATAGTCATATGCTTTAGCAAATTATTAGTGTATACAATAGCCAGCGGCCATAATATTGCAATAACTATTTTACCGTTCATAACCCAATGGCTCTACTCCATGTTTCGTTTATTGATTTTAAAGAAAAGAAATAAACCATTATAATATATATGTATATATAATGCGTGTGTATAATATTTAATATTTACAAGTGAAATAAACATTCGTTTTTGTATAATTTTATGTAGAATATTAACAACCAAATTTGATTTATGTTTTTTCGTTTAAAATTTTTTCCACCATGTTATCGTTTATGATAGCATATTACAACCATAATAATATAATATCATAAATATATATATATATACATCCTTATTTTATTTATAAGAATAACGACGATCTTAGTACAAACTTCACGAAATTAAGCCGAAGTTTGGAGCGGTGTTGTGCTAAACGGCTAACTCGATATTTTATCCAGATAGAAAAATACTATGCAAGCCTAGAGACTTTCCTCATAGATGGCACAACAGGATTGAACATCTTTTGGCAAAAATCTCGACGCTTAGGAAATATTTATCCGGCTACCATGTTGAGTTAGCCGGTTTTAAAACAACACTAGTTTGAAAAAAAATAAATTCTGGTTTAAATTTTGACGTTACTCTCCTATTTTAAAAATATAGAATATAGTACAGTGGCCACTCAAGGGCTGGTTAAGTTTTTTTGGGTCAATATAAAAAGGTGGGTTCAATACGCGTATCGTTTTAATAACGACGAGATCGCAAGGTAAAGAGGTTTAGTCGCTACGAAAGCAAATCGTTACTAGCGATCAGAGTTGTTAAAGGATCTAGATACAAGTATCTAGATCCTGTATATAGATATAAAAATGTGGTATCTGTATCTAGATAGATTTTTGATTAAAATATCTGTATCTAGATATTATTTTAGACGATGTACCTGTATCTAGATCCATTTAAAAAGTATCTTTTAACAACTCTGTTAGCGATGGAGTCATAGGCGTAGCGAAAGGAGCGGGTAGCTCCCCCCCCCACCCTCTTCATAAAAAATATACAGTATATCAGAAATCTGCAGGCCTAAGCCCGCCCTGGGTACATGATAATAAATATAATATATTTTAAAAAATCCGGGTCGGACCTGAAAATTCTTCTTTTGTTTAAAAAAAAACCGGGCTAGAAACCCGGGCCGGGTTCGAAAAAAATTTTTGAAAAAAAAAATCCGAACCGGGCCATGGCACCTCTGCAGGTTTATGCAATATATCAATATAAACAAGAACAGCCAAAAACCTATAATAAGTTAGTGGACCTAAAGAATGAGGGAAATAAAATCCAGCTAAGTGCTTTCCCTTTCCAGAAAAATCTTGGATGTGCCTGTAATGGAGGTTGGACAAAAATATGTCAAGGAGGAGGTGGGGGGGGAAGTGTATATTTAGAAAGTGGATAGTCATTTAAAAAAAAATATTGTGGATGTCGAAAAATATCTGCTTAATATTTGCTTTAAATTCAGTTCATTTACAGATTATTCATATAACCAAGTTTCAGACTCCAAGCTGCTTATTTGCCAAATGTTATTATATATATATATATCTTATATTTCTGAATAATTTTAATTGGAAGAGTTTTAGTGGGGTCGCCTAAATTATTTTTGCCTCGGATCGCCAAAGGTCTCAGCACGATTCTGTACGAAACTGTGGTCATATTAGGTGGGAGGCTTCACTTCTCTTCAAATGTGCAAGTGAATAAGCCTCCCAGGGTAAGAAGTGAGTGGGTTGCTCTGCGTTTGACATATTAATTTTTATAAATGTCAAATATATTCGAGAGGTTTTACTATTCTTATTTTATTTTCGAAATTTTGAATTAATTCGCGATAAATCATTTTTTTAAAAACATAATTCCTATTCGTTCAAGTCACGCATAATATGATTCAAAATACGACTTTTCTAAGGGAGTTAAAAAAAAAGGAAATACATTTAACGATATACAAAATATCGCGTTTCCCTTACTCCCCCCTTCTTTATTGACGTCTTCTCCATAGCCCCCCCCCTCGGTAGCGGTGTTTTTAAGGGAGGGGGGGTAGAAGATAGCTGAGTTAAAAATATGGCCTGGTATTTTGTTTTTTGAATAGCTCATCTTTGAAGGAATCAGAAACATCATAACCTCTTGCACATCAATATTTTTAGCCATTACTCAACGACTATAGGTAGATGTTTAGGATAGAAATGAATGGGGTGATTTAAAAATTGGGGTTAGGAACTTTATTGTGCCCCTTCTAATTCCAACTGAAGGAAATGCTAATAACCTTAGAAAACTGAAAATGGTCTATAAAATTTAGTATTCTATTTGTATATCGATAAAATTGTTAAGGGGGGAAGATGGGCCAGCTGTCACAACCTTCAGAATAATAATTGAGCTTCTTTAAAAAAATTTATATGTAAAGATTTAATTAGAAAATCAATATATAATTAATATATATATATATATAAAACATGTCAAATTTTTAACCTTTTCTCCCTCAAAATTAAAAAATATAAATATCCGTTTTTCCTATATTATTTCTACCAATTTTCTCACCGACTTTTAGGGATCAATGTTATCAAATGTGCATGTACAAAGTTGCATTGCTAAAATTTGTAATCAATTAAAGATTAAAGTTACAACCAGAAGAGAATTCGTCGCTAAATATCGATGAGCTGGGGTGAGGCATAAAAAATTTTAAACTATAATTACAATGATCAAATTAAAACATATAAAAATAGTTTCTGGGAATCAAGCATTTTTAAGGTTCTAAGGAAGAATGTTTTGTTAGAATGAAATAGAAAATAATTATGATTATTAAGTATGTATGGCATCTAGGAATAATTCGTAGGTAAATTTGTCTTTTTTTTTAGAGTAGGTAGAAAATTAGACATAATGTGTTCAACGAGATTGCTGGCTTTATAGTCAGAATTTCAAAAAATGGCAGATGATTTTAAAGTCATTTTTGTGAAGCGAATGCTATGATTAATGTTGTTTTAAAAGGCTCTTTTTGAGTCTATTTTTTGAAAACGGTTGACTCGATATTTTAGCCAGAAAAATATTGGCTAAGCCTAAGAGATTTTAACAGAGTTTATAAAAATGTGGCATCTGTATATGTATCTAAATAGATTTTTGATTAAAATATCGGTATCTAGATATTTTTTTAGACGATGTGTCTGTATCCAAATCCATTTAAAAAGTATCTTTTATCAACTCTGGATTTTAATGATATATGTCTAGATCCTTTCGTTCCTTCTATGAACAAAATTTTCAGGGCTGGCATATTATTTTTTTCTGGATGAAATATTGATTTAGGTCTTCGAAAAGTTATCATCATGATTGGCCCAAAAAAAAAACCACGGACGCTTTTAAAAAATTAATCGCGTTCTCTTAAAGATAATGGCGTTTTTACAAAATTTTACAAAGATAATATTAATATAAAAAAAAATGTCACTTGGAATCCATTAAATCTTGAAATTTTGGATAAAACAAAAAAATGTGCCCGAAAAAAACAATTTCAATCTGCAAGATTTTTATAATCAAAGGTTCGTCGCAAGAGCAAGGGCCCATACTAAATCGCTTCTAGAGGATTTGATTGGTCCCCTCTCGCAATTCGAGGATTGGATGCCGATTTATCGGATTTTTCCCATTGGTTGAGGAGTTGAAAAAAAAAGGGAAAACGTGAGAATAATAATATATTTTTTTTAATTTGTTGGAATTAATCGATTTATCAATCATCAAAAAACAAATAGGTTGAAGAAATTTAAAATTTTGGTTATTTTAACTATATATCTTAGTCTGAAAATATATATATTTTTTATAGCCTTGAACTTGGCTAAGCATTTATGCATTTTTTATATTATATATTATATGTTTTAGTAGGTAAGCTTTTATGTTAAAAGTTAAATAAGATTGATATGAAACAAAGTAATAAAAAGAATTTGAAATGGAAGTTTTTATCATTTTTTTAAGTCTGTGTCTGTGTGCTTATAGCTATATATATTTTTGATTTATCTTAGTTCCTCCATATAAATAAAAATAACGTCGATACAAAAAGTAACAAAATATATTAGTTACTTTTTAGGTATTTTAACAAAAATTTTTTTTTTTAAAAATGTTTCAAGAATGAAAGAAATGGCTGCTACAGAAACGCTGGCAGTTACTTAATTTATTTATAATCAATAAAATGGATTTATCGGGGTTTGCTCTTCTTGAAAGTGGATAGGGGAAGATTTATTCCCATCTCTAATTTTTAATTACCAAAATTCCTTAGCACTTATTCACCTTCTTACACAGGCTATGTAGGGGGGGGGCGAATTGAGCCTACCCACCCCCATGGCGTTAATGCGAAACCCTGGGGTCCGACTATAGAACCTATATATCGATCCGTTCCAAACTTTTAAGAGGTAGATCGAAAATCCGATCCCTAAAAAGTATAGGAATATTGGAATGAAAAGAAAATCGCGGATACATTTTTATAGGGTTTTTTGACGAAACCTGAGTCTAGTTTGACACCTTAATACAAGATTTTTATATTCCGACTCAACGAAAAAATCTACCCGAGTCCGATCGATTCAAGTTCGGTCAAATCGGTCCGGCACTATCGGATTGAGTTGTCGGTTGTATTTGAGATATTTTTTTTTTAATAGAAAGAGATGACTACAGTAATATTATTCGTTATACTATTATATTATAATTGATAATGAATAAAGGCTAATGTGCAGAGATAGGATAGGAGTGGGAGCTTTATCAGGCGCTCAGTGTGCCATAAATATGAAGCTAATTAAAATTTATGAGTTATATATTAAGATCATACATGAAAACATATTGTCCACAACTTCCAATTCATTTGTATTAATATTAATTAATTAATTAAAAAAATACGTTGTTAGCAAAAAGGTTCATAAATGTCCTTTTTACTAAACACAAATAATTACAAAAAAAGCCATATGAACGGCATGAATTGTTCAGGTAAAAAAATATCGGGTATAACAGGAAGAAATGGGAGCCGCCTATGAATAGCAAACGCGTATAACATGCGTAGAGACACATTTCCACGGATGTAACACATTAAATTAAATATGATTCGAAATGAAATAAACCTTTCTACGCTCAAAGGGACCATAGCCAGGTTGGAGGCGAAGACCAGACTAATTATCAAATAGAGCAACCATTTGCAGACCCAGGTTTCTAGCAATCCCTTCTCCAGATCCGATGCGAGGTTCAAGTTTTGGTATAAATCATCGCTACGCTTCGATGCGTGAGGATGGGAAACATCTTCAGAGCGATTACTTTCTTCAGCATAGGATGTCCTATTGAACAAGGAATCGTTGGGATAGACAGCGGCAAAAATACTCCCGCCTAATTTATTGATATTCCTCCCATTATCATCGCTATGATAAGCATTTTTAGATCGCCCCTCCGCAATTTTACCGACCAACGCGGAGTCGATGACCACGACTACCTCCTTATCTCTAACCCATTGGAGGCGCGATAATGTGGAGCCATTGCGGAAGTCGTTGGTCCAGAAGGGCTGGTTTTCGCTCAGCGACAACAAATCGAATCGATGATTCCCGAAATTCTCGAGAGAAATTTGGATGAGAGAACACAGAGCTAGGGCCAGGTTCGCGAAGCACAGGCTGGTCAAGTATAAATTTATGACGGTTCTCAAATTTTTACGGTACATTAGGACGCAAACGATGAAAGCGTTGAGTACGACTCCTAACAGGGACATCGTTATAACGAAACACAAGTCTCGAATCAATTTCCACATAATTGCATGCCTTCGTTTTTTAAAAACAGAAAAAAAAGGGAACGATATTAATTTCGTTTATACGACATAAAAGCCAACATGCTAATTATTTATAGATTCCACCCATTTCCCAACGATAAATCTTAACTCACGCATGCGCGGGTGGGGAATATGAGTGTCACAAAGAATTTTGAAATGTGATTTACTTGAAATTCTTTAAGTATAGCTGTTTAATTTTATGTAAAACATATGTGCGCAAAATTATTTAGTAGTTTGTGAGAGGTTATAACTGTTTTTTTGGGAAGTTTGGGATAGACAAAGACCCCGCTTAAATATCCGCCTAATTTTTTTCCTATCGGCTTTAGCATTTGATTGATTAATTAAAAATTATATTATACCTATACGAATATTTGAATATTTGAATCTTGGTTAAGTATTTATATATACTTTATTTTTATCATTATGGTATTTAAATCATGTTTAGTTATATCAAATTATTTTTACACTTTTTATAAACTCCTAGAATTTTAAAATTAATAATAAGATGTTTTAGTTATATTTTACAAATAACTAAAATCTCATTTTATTTAGTAAATAAAAAACTATAAAGTAATACGAATTATAAGATGATATAATATATCTACTTTGGGGGGTCCATATGAACCCCGTGTTTCTTAACCCACCTACTAAATAAGAATATTTAATTACAAAATTAAGTATATCTAATATAGAATCTCATCTCATCTCATCACATTACATAATCATAATAAAAATATATCTATAATAAACCTATAATAACTTTTAATTTTAATCATCGTATACTATATAATGTGCAAAGGCCATTTTCCATTATCGACCAATGAATAATATTAAGTATGGGGGTTAATTCATAACACCAACGCGAGGACCATTTGATTCGTAATGAGCGATAGCTTTGATAATCGATTCTATTTACCTAGTGGAATTTGGCTTAAATATGATTTAGAAAAGGTTATTTCCGAAATGAAGATTTCTTTTAATTTTAATGTTCATTTTTTTGTATATATCAGATTTATGAATATCTTTAAGAATTGTATCGTGATATATATTCTAAAAAAAATTTAATCATTTATTTTACTATAAAATATAAATAAAATATCATTAGAAATTTTAAAAAAATATATAATATTTTTAATTTTTAAAAAATCTTGAAAAAATATGTCCAAATAATTTTCACTATTTTTATTTTAAAAAATAATTTTTTGGTGATAAATAAATATAAATTTAACAATAAATTAAAATTATGATTGAATGAAAAACAAATAATCAATTTAATATTTAATATTAATGATTACTTATCAATAATATATGAAATTATATACTTATAAATTCAAAAATAATATTTATTTTAGATATAATATATAATAATGATAATAATAATAAAAAAAATACTTTTATAAATATTAATATGAATTTTAAATTTTATGTAAGATTTATTGTTGAATTTATTCGAATGAACTCATTAATTTTAGATATTTGACAATTCTAAAAAAAAATATTCTCCAAAGAGTCTAACCCCTTTGCTACAGTAAAAAAAAATAAAAAATTTCTGATTAGGGGAACCAATCAGAATCCATTTCATCTAAGGTGCCCATATTATTTTAGGAATTTTAAATAGAATATACATTTATATTGCTCAAATTTGTAATGTCCCCCTAAAATTAGATATAGAGCCTTGAATTTTTAAACTGTATTATTTAAGCTTCCACTCTAACTTAATTTTCTTATCCTTTTTTAAAAAATAAATAAAGGTAACGTAAATGCTGTATATTGCACTAGAAGTTCTGATCTGAAACTCCTTACCATGGGTCTGAAACCTTTTTTTTGTCACCCAGACGGTAAATAAATCCGGGTTAAATTTTTAACGCGCCTATAGAATATTGATAGGTATAATATATTTAGGAGGATTAGTAGATGACAGATATTTGTTAGCAACAAACTAGTTTTGTCCGTTTTTTTAGGTTGCTAAAATAGGCTAATAGGGGCTAGAGATAAGGCCATAACCTTATATGTAATGATCTTTATTGCATAATTTTTGCCTAAAAGTTGGTTGACGACAACTATTGTTCTTGTCATAAAAGAAATAACGATAATGTTATCAATTTATAAAGACATCATAACATATTTAACCATTCCTAAATCTGGGGCTTCTTGGACCGGTTTCGAGTGAATATCATAACAAAAAAAATGATATTTGTAATGCAAAAATGCGCGATGAATTATTTTGTACAAAGGGATATCTCAAAAATATATGAAAATATAATCAGGAAGATTATTTTAAGAAGTAATACTTAAGTAACTATTATAAGGTCCCAAGTGCAAAAAAAATTTCATAACTAGGTTTTAGAAATTGTAATGTCGTGTTAAACAAAAGAAAAATGTACAGAACAATGATATTCGCAGAAACAAAAGGGATAATTTAATGACAAAAAAAAACGACGTGTTTTTTTAAAAAAAAAACAACGTGTTTTCTTTAAAAACATACCAGCTCATTTTATGTACACTTTATACTTATTTTTAAAAATTTTGACAAAAAATTTTTTTTTCTTTCAATAATTTCTTATATTAATTAATACACGTAATGATTTCTGCCGTGCAAATCATTGTACAATGCAAGAAAAAACATTTCGCTATAACTGTGAGATCATCTGACCCCATCGGCATATTTAGCGGTGGGGAATGGGGGGTTCTAGGATTTTTCTAGTTTCAAAAATCTATTAGGACTAAGTGAGTATAAAATATTGACAAATTCCTAATATACTCAAATTCGAATAAAATATTAATTAATCTGTCAGAAAAAAAAATGTTGGTAAAAATATCATTAAGCATATATAAATTTACAAATTCAAACTTCTTTGGGGAATTGAGCTAATTTTCGATGATTTTCATCAGTGCTGCTCGCGTAACCACTCCCTATGTATATTAGGCTAACACACTATCCAATCTAGTTTCAAAGGTTAATAATCAATTTTGAGAAAAGAAAGAATTCTACTAATTCTGATCATACATCTTTTTAATGATTCCTGGAAAAAAAAAATCGCAGTAATATAATTACATTTTTAATTTTATCAATTTTTTATATATATATAATATAAAAAAAAGAATTGATTTTTACGACTTTTAATTAAATATATAAATTACAAACTCCACATTTTAGAATGAAACACTATTATTATATTTATTATATAAAAAACAATAAAATTAATTAATTTCCATCGCGATTCGGAGAAACGGAAATGTGAAGATTAATCCCCGGGCCTAGTGGAAAGTGGAATTGGAATTATAATTTTTTTATTTTTACAATCTTAAATTCCGGGGATGAAATAACACTTTTAAATTTTATAAAAAATAATAATAATTATAATAATAATAAATTTGAAAAAAAAAGTTTCTAAAAAAAATAAACGAAAATAATTGAAGCTAAGTTTTAAATTTTGAATTTCCCTTATAATGGGGGAAGTGGGGGGGGGGGGGGGAGAGGTTAGGGAACGGGACTTTTGATCATGCGGAATATTGATTTAAAGGAATATTATTCTTTAAGATGAAGAAGAAAAAGAAAAAAGGATAATGGAATTCCTATTAAGCTAGACTTTCTTCTTCCTTCTTATCTAATCCCTTCTTTTTTGATTTAAAATAAAAAAAAAAATAATATTATATTTTATTTTTAAAAATAATTATCATTCTCAGACAATACCAGCTAAAAAAAAATATATGTAATTAATCCCAAATTCATAAATTTTAATCTTTAAAAAAAAAAATTAAAAAAGTCGAAGAATCAATCTGGAAACACTTTTTTTCTTTTTCCAAAAATGGCACCGATGCATACGATCATTTTTTTTTAAACACACAAGAAATAAGAATGAATTTCGGTATATTATAATATGTAAAAGAACTAAAAAAAAAAGGAGTCATGTGATCAAGCCAGTAACCGGCCCGGATTTTTTTTCCGGCCCGGCCCGAACCCAAATTTTTTTTTAAATATAGAAATTAATTTTTATGTAATAACTCAAAATAAACGATACATGTTTATTTGGCGTTCTACTTTCTTACAAATAAAATCACATATTAGTTAAAAAATTCTAAGGCCATGCCCGACCAGCCTCGAATTTTCTTAAAAAAATATTAGGCCCGGACCTACTTTTTGCAGATCTCTAATGTGAACATTAAATGATTTTCTAGACTATTTCCTTCTCAACTATCAGAGTTGTTAAAGGATCTAGATACATCTAGATATAAAAATATGGTATCTGTATCTACATAGATTTTTGATTAAAATATCTGTATCTAGATATTATTTTATACGATGTATCTGTATCTAGATCCATTTAAAAAGTATCTTTTAGCAACTCTTTCAACTATAATCTTATCGCGTTTCTTAATACGAGAAGTCAACCTGTTTAATATCCACTACGCTTTTAAACCTTGTCCAGACCTTATATTGCTGATAAGATTCGGCAGATAGAAACTCGGGTGGTGGCAGAGCCTTTTTACAAAACTCTAAGCCTATACGCTAAAACCGCCCCCCCCTTCACCTCACAACATTACTAAAAACACATAATGGATACTGACCTTATAAATTTTAATGCTACCACTACCCGTGTTAGATGATGGTATGTTAAAGAAATTTTTAGCAGTAAGCCCCACTTTTGCTCCCAAAATGGAACTTTGATCATATTTTCCCGTTTCTATTAACTGACCAAAACCGCTGAATTAGTTTTAAAAAAAAATTTTTTTTGATCTAACTAAATTTCTTTTTAGAAACTCGTGAAATTGAATGAGGGGTCTATTAGAGTACAAAGCCAGCAGATAATGCTAGACCTCAGGGTTCCGAAAGTAGACCGACATTTTAAACCCACTTTCATCTTGTTATAACAACACCACCCGTTATTCCTAAATCTTAAAATTTAATTTTTCCTTTTCGGGGTTCAATAACGATAAAGAGTATAAAAATGGCTCGCACGACAAAAATGTTTGGAGTTTGTTCCTCTGCTCAAAAGCAGTAGATCAGCTGTTCAACAACAGAAATCCTAACTGCCCGCCAGGACCTATGTTTAATTTTGTTTACAAAAAAAAAATGAGATACAGGAATTCATTTTATAATTTAAAAAAAAAAAATCTATTATTTTCCTAAACTATCTTTTAAATGAGCAAGTTATTCCATGTTTCATTTAACTATTTCTTTTTAAAAAAAAAATATATAAGGTCTAACCCCCTCTCTCATTCACAGTTATAGCGCAAATTAGCGGCGAAAGATTACAAAACTTGGTGGGGGAGAATTTGGAATATACAGCGTATTTGGTATACTTAACTGCTAATTAGCGTTAAATGTGAACCCAGGGTAGTAAGTAAACTTAACAGAAAAGTTCAAGTAAAAAAAAAAATGTCAGATGCGAGATGGTGACTAGACATGAGCTAGAAGTATATTAAATTGAAGGATTGATGTAAATGATGTTTAAGAAAAAAATGTTTTGCATTTGTCAAACTTTAAAAAAAAATTTCTTTTAAGACTATCTCCAAAAATAACGAAAAAATTAATTCGAAAATTTTTCAAAAACTTTATCGAAATTTGCGAATAAAAACCACCCTAATCGCGAAATCAAAATTTTTATCATTTAGTGTTTTCTAAAAGTGCGAAAACATCTTCTAATTTTTAGAAACACTTTTTTAGAATTGCGACCACTCTGCATCTTCAGATCTAGCTATCTACTCCTGACATTCAATTTTTATATTCTTTTTCCTTCTCCACGGAGAACCATATAAAAAAAACATTTATAATTTTTTTTGGCATAAAAAATTCATTTATCCAATTTATACTAGAATCATTTTCATATTTTTCTAACTACTTAAATATTTGCTTTATAAAACTAACAACATTTCTCAATTATCTTCAGTATTTTTTTTTTTGCTTTAAAGGGTCAAATTAAAAAGTCAAAATAATACAAATTTTTTAAATATATTTCTTCCGATATAAGTTTTTAGTAAAGATAATATAATATAATTGATTTGTTTTTTTTTCCATTTTAAAAAAGAAAAGAAGGAGAAAAATGATACAATAATTTAAAACATTCTCTAGGAAACTACGTACATTATA